GGGCCCGTGCCTGCAGCGAGTAGACGAGCTGTACATGAAGTGCGCGGAGTGGGACTGGAGGTCCAGCTAGTCTGGCACCCCCGCTCGGAACAGCAACAGCAGTATGCAGACACGCTCTCCAAGTTCGAAGACAGCTCGCAGTGGTGTTTGGACGACGCGGTGTTCGCAAGTTTGTGGGCGGAACCATGCCTGCAGGGAAGCAGGCCTACGGTAGATGTGTTTGCGGACGAGTTTTCTACGAAAGTACCAGGACGCTTCTTTGCGCGTTATTGGAGCCCCAACGCCCTAGCGGTGGATGCCTTCACTCAAGACTGGGGAAAGTGGAGTCGCCAGGGCCTGCTGTACCTTAACCCCCCGTTCGACCAGATGGGGCGAGTAGTGCACAAGATTGCCGAGGAGAAGCCGGACTGCGTCTTGATCACACCTGTTTGGCCACGATGGTGGAGAGCTAGACTGGCAACGCTACCCATCAAGGCACGGAGGCGTCTGCCACACAGCCCCACCCTTTTCAGGCCGGGGCCCCAGGTCCCGGGCGGTGCGGAGAGAAAACCGAAGGCCCCGAGTTATGCGGTCGAAGTAGTGTACATTCTGTGGTAAGGGCAAGGCCCGACTAGGCCGAGAGTACGACGGAGCTGATAGAAAGCGAGGACCCAAAGAAGCCAGAGACGTGGCGAGACTGAGACTGGCAGGCGAGCCGCAAGGCGGTGTGGCTGGGATGTGGTGTGGCCTGATTAAACATTGGGATCGGGTGTAAGGCTGGACGCAAAGGCCCACTTCACGCTAGTCCGGTACGGAGCGACGAGCATTTACATTCAAGCACCTGTAAATGCTCTGAATAGCTTCGACCCCCAACAAACTCGAAGCACCACCTTAGAACATAAAGGAGAAAATTTTACAATAGAGGAAGATCTTCGTTCATAGAGTTAAAATATGTAATCTGTTTGTCAAAAGTGGCGCGGAGTAGATGGCACAGACATGCAGATGGCACGCTCCGCCTGGGACGACGGCGACAACGAATACCGTTTCGACGGCTGACACGAGCCCAGTTTCTAATCCTTATGGCAGTTTCCTTTAATCCTCATGGGCGTCTATTAAACAATGTCCAAAAGTAGCTGCGGGGAACTTACATTTATTTTTCGGGCATCCTCGAATTTACCCGTTACCCGACTTTCATGCTCGCTCAGCAGTCAGCCCTTAAATCTACCAGTTAATTTTGCCATTATCAGCTTTTTTATGATATGTTATCAAGTTCAAACACTTGTGATAGGTCCATGATTTTGCTACCGGCTTCGAGGATTTCGAACTAGAGACTCCACCGGCTCTGTGCAATCCGCTTGCGTCCACGCACGTCGCAAGTGTGACAATTTTCTGCATCTATGTAAAATTTGACGAAAAATGGCGCAATGTGACCAGCGATTCAAGATCATTTCCTTGAGCACGCGTCGCTCGTCAATATAATAATATATATTATAATTATGAAGGGCTGGTGCGTGATAAACAATGGGGCAATGGCAAGCGCTGAAGGGTGAGAATCCGGGCTCTTCGAACAACTTCAATGTCTTTTGCCTTCGAAAATGCACTTGAGTGCATGTCACATGTCTGTCGTATATAGTGGACTTGTATATGCTTCGTATACTTGTGCTAAAAGCATGCTTACGCTAAAAGCATGTGCGACAAGTAAAAGTGAGGAGTTGTGTGTGTGTGGTTGTTACAGTGGGCTCCAGACTCCCGAAGAGTAGAGCCATCGGGCCAGCTGGCCGTGCACTGCAGTAGAGACTAATATACCAAAAGATTATCATCTCAGATAATTAACCTCTCATCGGTAACCGCTCTCGCGAACAAATCAATTTGCCAGATATAATCCTCAAAAAGGGGTGATGTGCGCCAACGGATTCCCAACCTTTTCGTGGAATTCCTAAAGCTGCGAAACCCTGAATGCGGCCCCAAAAATCAACAATAACTCGACAAATTGCTTCTTCCGTAAGGGAAGGACCAGGTAACAGTGCCGGGTTGGTTTTCATGTTTGCAGCCATATAACGTCTCCCATGCTCCATGGCTGACACCGCAGCAAGAGCCACAACATCCCAAACACATTGTTGCACTGATTGTGGGGCTTGGATAAGCCAAAGTTGCTCCCTTGAGACTGGCAATCCTATTGAAAGAGTAATTTGATCTGCTATTGCCTGTGCCACCGGACAGGCCCAGAAATGATGATAGCGAGGGGATACACCTCCCACTGAACCTATTGGATAACCTCCACAACCACACATCGTTGGGCGCGACATCCTAAGATGGGAATTTCCTAACATAGGCACCCCATCAACCGCAAGACGCCACCAAATCTCTTTTTGTTCATTTTCCCACCGTAAATGAAACCATAAACGATGGAATGTCCGTTGCAAAAGA